ACAATTTTCCATCATCAAAATCCATGATAGCAACCTCTCAGGCTTCCTGTACTTAGTTAAAGACCGACAAGCAATGGACAGTTGGATGGATAAGGGAGATTTGAACAGTCTGATGATGATGTGTTGAAAACTGACACTGCAAATATTCAGACGAGATTTCAATGCTGAAAAAAAAACCCCCAAAAAAACCCAAAAAAACCCCCAAAAAAGTCCACAACAAAGAACATGTAACTTGTGGAAAAGTAAGACAATTTCACCACATTACTTTTATGCCCTACAAAACCTTAAATTCCAGATACATTTTTTTATTTGCAAATTCACAAAGTTTATGAGAAGTTATCTTTTAACAAATTTGACCTTTAATATAGGCAAAGTAATTTTATTTCACAAAATTTGTTAAGCTTTCTCCCAGGAGCTTACTAACCACATATATGTGACATGACTCTAGGCCTTTTAGGTTAATCATTACATATCTGACAGTTTTAAACAAAATTGACCTCTGTGACCTTGAATACAGTTTTAGGAAATTTCTTTTAGAAATTCTTATGAACTTGGTCCAGAGAACCTATCAGCCAACTATCATGATTCTAGGCATTTGGTTAATTAGAAGAAGCTGTTGGAAAGAATTTACAAACTTAACTTGTGTGACCTTGAAAAAGTGTCAAGGTCATTTCTTTTGGTACCTAATTTGTAAGACATCATCCCATGAAAATACCAGCCATGTATCACATTTAGAGGTTTTTTAAATTTGAATCCTGTGACCTTCAATATGGATCATTTCTTTCTGCTACCTTTGTCAGACTTTATCCCAGAAACATGCCAGCCACATTCATCTTGCTTGAAAAGTCATTTAAAGGAAAAAATTGAAGCTGGACAGACCAAAAATGGATAAATAAGATAAGTTAAAAAGTGTGAAAGGGTATTGTTCAACCAAGAATAGATAAAGCATGTTGATATCTCCTAATCATCAGACATACAAAAACAACTAATGTCAACATAAGAAACCTTTATTTCAATGACAGTTTAACAAGTGTGAAATGTGTTCCATGTAAGAAGTCTTATCTTATCTCATACTATCAAAAATAAATTTTTAAACTATACATATGTATCACTAAAATATATTCACATTTACGATAAAAACACAACAGTGCAGAAAACCTGTTTAAGAATACATCAAAACCACCAGAAATTAGAGGCTTTATACTACGGCCTCTTCTTCTTACTCCTTTGGTTTGGTTACAATTATTTCATCTGTATTAAAGGAAAAGGATATCAAAGGTTAACCCCTAATCCTTCCATTGACCTTGTCCCTTTTCCCCCTATTTGACCCCATCCATGATCTACTTCTGGTATTGGGGCAAGATGAAATTCCCTTCATCTACTCTAAACTAAATCTGTTTAAAATTTGTTTATTTGTTTATACAAACGAAGAAGAAATACAAAGGTTTGTTTTTACTTCACCTCACCTCTCTGCCCAAGGATCCATATGCATGGAACTGAAGCAAATTACTGATAAATTTGATAATTGGAATTCATTTGACACCTTTTAACCCCATCCTTTATTTCCAAAGCATCAGTCAGATAAAATAAGCAGGGTATCTTCTAGCCCCAATCCTTGTGTTCCTAGAGTCAGTCAGATATAATAAGCATGATATCTTCTAGCCCCAACCCTTGTGTTCCTAGAGTCAGTCAGATATAATAAGCATGATATCTTCTAGCCCCAATCCTTGTGTTCCTAGAGTCAGTCAGATATAATAAGCATGATATCTTCTAGCCCCAACCCTTGTGTTCCTAGAGTCAGTCAGATAAAATAAGGATGGTATCTTCTAGCCCCAACCCTTGTGTTCCTAGAGTCAGTCAGATAAAATAAGGATGGTATCTTCTAGCCCCAATCCTTGTGTTCCTAGAGTCAGTCAGATAAAATAAGGATGGTATCTTCTAGCCCCAACCCTTGTGTCCCTAGAGTCAGATAAAATAAGCATGCAATTAAACTGCCATGTATGGACATGTGTAGTATTTTGATATTTCTTACTAACTTTGATCATATTTGATACCTGTGAACTTGAAAACTTTTGTAGCCCTAAATCCATCATGCTACAGGACAAATATCAGAACCCTGGGACTTTTGGTTTTTGAGAAGAATTCATTTGAATGAAAGTTTACGGACGGTGGACAATGCTACACAGAACACAATCGCTACAGGTCATTCTTTTGGTCAGATGACCTAGTAAAGCCCTCACAAACAGTCATGTTTTCACAGTATACAATATACTCTTTAACAACTGGCAGTGCTACAGAAATAAAACATTTTTAAAATATTTCAAATAAAATAACTTTTTCAAATAAAGTTTTTCAATGTAAATATAACATGATTTTTTAACACATTTCTGTTATAAATCATGAGTGACAACAGTAGGGTAGTGTTAACAGTGCATATCAAGATATCTTGTAGTAAACTTGGCACTCAACTTTGTATAATTTCTATTTTTCAACGGTTTAATCTTTTCCCTTCTTTTCTCTAACAAACACTTAACACATGTGATAAGTGTCAAAAAGTATGCTGTACTCGGTCTTTGTTAGCTATCCAGTACCATAGAGTGGTGAGGCTCAGTGTCCTATACAGTGATCAGTGTACACCTGTCCTGTAGAGGTTACCAGAGGTCCCTGGATAGAAAGCAAGAGTCACTGAGGCGTAACCAAATCATGCAACACAGATTAAACACAAAGTTACATCGGTAGTCAAGTCCATTCCAGATTTTCAAAAATTTGCAATGAACTAAAACTGTTAAAATCCAAGATGGCCACTGGTAGATGGTAACAGTACTGGTAGATGGTATATTGTACTGGTAGATGGTAACAGTCCTGGTAGATAGTAACAGTCCTGGTAGATGGTATATTGTACTGGTAGATGGTATATTGTAAAGGTAGATGGTAACAGTCCTGGTAGATGGTATATTGTACTGGTAGATGGTAACAGTCCTGGTAGATGGTAAAAGTACTGGTAGATGGTATATTGTAATGGTAGATGGTAACAGTACTGGTAGATGGTATATTGTAATGGTAGATGGTAACAGTACTGGTAGATGGTAACAGTCCTGGTAGATGGTATATTGTACTGGTAGATGGTAACAGTCCTGGTAGATGGTATATTGTAATGGTAGATGGTATATTGTAATGGTAGATGGTATATTGTACTGGTAGATGGTATATTGTATTGGTAGATGGTATATTGTAATGGTAGATGGTATATTGTACTGGTAGATGGTAACAGTACTGGTAGATGGTATATTGTACTGGTAGATGGTAACAGTACTGGTAGATGGTATATTGTATTGGTAGATGGTAACAGTACCGGTAGATGGTATATTGTAATGGTAGATGGTAACAGTCCTGGTAGATGGTAACAGTACTGGTAGATGGTATATTGTACTGGTAGATGGTATATTGTAATGGTAGATGGTAACAGTACTGGTAGATGGTATATTGTACTGGTAGATGGTAACAGTACTGGTAGATGGTATATTGTATTGGTAGATGGTAACAGTACTGGTATATGGTATATTGTAATGGTAGATGGTAACAGTCCTGGTAGATGGTAACAGTACTGGTAGATGGTACATTGTACTGGTAGATGGTATATTGTAATGGTAGATGGTAACAGTACTGGTAGATGGTAACAGTACTGGTAGATGGTATATTGTACTGGTAGATGGTAACAGTACTGGTAGATGGTATATTGTATTGGTAGATGGTAACAGTACTGGTAGATGGTATATTGTACTGTAGATGGTAACAGTACTGGTAGATGGTATATTGTACTGGTAGATGGTATATTGTAATGGTAGATGGTATATTGTGCTGGTAGATGGTATATTGTACTGGTAGATGGTTACAGTCCTGGTAGATGGTATATTGTACTGGTAGATGGTAACAGTACTGGTAGATGGTAACAGTCCTGGTAGATGGTAACAGTACTGGTAGATGGTAACAGTACTGGTAGATGGTATATTGTAATGGTAGATGGTATATTGTACTGGTAGATGGTATATTGTACTGGTAGATGGTAACAGTACTGGTAGATGGTATATTGTATTGGTAGATAGTATATTGTACTGGTAGATGGTAACAGTACTGGTAGATGGTATATTGTACTGGTAGATGGTAATGGTATATTGTACTGGTAGATGGTATATTGTACTGGTAGATGGTATATTGTACTGGTAGATGGTATATTGTAATGGTAGATGGTATATTGTACTGGTAGATGGTAACAGTACTGGTAGATGGTATATTGTACTGGTAGATGGTATATTGTATTGGTAGATGGTATATTGTATTGGTAGATAGTATATTGTACTGGTAGATGGTATATTGTACTGGTAGATGGTATATTGTATTGGTAGATGGTATATTGTATTGGTAGATGGTATATTGTACTGGTAGATGGTATATTGTACTGGTAGATGGTAACAGTACTGGTAGATGGTATATTGTACTGGTAGATGGTATATTGTATTGGTAGATGGTATATTGTACTGGTAGATGGTATATTGTATTGGTAGATGGTATATTGTATTGGTAGATGGTAGATGGTAATGGTATATTGTAATGGTAGATGGTAACAGTACTGGTAGATGGTATATTGTATTGGTAGATGGTATACATGTACTGGTAGATGGTAACAGTACTGGTAGATGGTATATTGTACTGGTAGATGGTATATTGTAATGGTAGATGGTATATTGTACTGGTATATGGTATATTGTATTGGTAGATGGTATATTGTATTGGTAGATGGTATATTTTTTAATAAAGTTGTAGAACCCTTACAATCTATAAAACAAGAAAGTGAAAAAGAAAAGTATAGATAGCTCCATTGTTTTTTTTTCATTTTATTTATTATTTAACATCAAATTATTTAAAGTAAAAAAAAGAAAAACAAAATTAACAAACAAGTTCTACATTATTATTTCTAATGAGTTTATATTTTGTTATATTTGCAGGAGTGTAAAGAAACTCTCATGATAATAATAATTATTAAAGAAAAATGAGAAAACATAGCAGGTAAATTTCCAGGTAACTCAACCAGTCCAGTAATTCTAATGTGTACAACAAAAGGTGTTCAGATATTGCTCCCTTGTGTCTATAACTCTGACTAGTCAAACTGTTAGGAATTCATGATAAACACAAAGACCTCATCAAGTTAAAAAGGAATGTTTACAATGGAAGATTGTCAATGCTAACCAAGTCTCAAAAAATAAGAAAAAATTCAAATCAATATCTGAAACAAAATACAACAATTTTAACAAGAGGCGTAATGGGCCTGCATTGCTCCCCTTGCTGGTACTTGTCCTAATTAATGAGAAGAGATGGTTTCAACAAATTTGACCCCTGTGACCTTGAATATTGTTCAAGCTTATTTCTTTTTATAAAACTCTCAGAAACCTTCCAGCCAAATATCACAATTCTAGGCCTTTTGGTTATTGAAAAGAAGCTGTTTAAAGGGGAAAAGTTGACAACAATTGGATGATGGGCATCATGCTATAGCTTAAACTAACTAGGACCTTCAACCCTTACTCTTTAGGCCAAGTGTGAAAAACATCCAAAAATGATATCGCTCTCTAGAATTATTTCAAAAAAATTTCACTCATTTTATCACAGCTTTGTATTTCTTGCACAAAATAATTTGTTTACTCCAGCATTTGCACAAATCATTCATGCCTGTAAAACATATATCACTTTCAAATTGTCTAGTTCATTTCCATGTTATGTTAAGAAAAGATGTGTTAAATGCTGGCCTCATTCAGAAATCCTGAATTCTTGAAACTCGTCACATCAGTGGTCTTCAATAATGTTCAGATCTTTCACTCTTCATTTTCCTGCAGTTTAATTTGAACCATTTGTGGTCTTCCAAACTCCCCAGTATGGATCAAACTCACTTTAAACCAGATTCATGGAAATTCCTCTGTTCGTGGACATTCACTTTGAACATCCTGAAAACTCGGATGTAGGTGTTCATCAACTCCATTTTTCCTTCTGGTCTGCATCATTCAAATGTCTGTTTTTATTCCAGGCTGTCACATATTCGTAGAGGAGAAACACAATACATATGTTCGGCGTCACATGTAAGAGGTAGATTCCAAAACCCTTGTAATAGCCTTGAAATCCCTCATACCTGCATAGAATAAAACCAATGGCAGTTGGCATCTGCACAATGTGCAAATTAGTAGATAATAACATGTAACATGTAAAGGTAACTCCTGTCATCACACCTCAGAACAAACACCTGTCATTACTTATAATGAAAGAATTTCTACAATTCACAGTTCGATCTAGTTCTAGTAAAGGGTAGGTTTGCTACCCCAGTACTTTAGAAAGTAGAAGAATAAACGATTTGATATCAAATTAGGAAACTGTACGCATTTGTCAAATACATTTTACAAATTAACATAGAAAATAAAAACATCAGGCCACGGAGAATCAGAAAATGGAACAAAAATATGAAATGTACGCACTACATGAATAATTATAATTGTACATACAGTCAAACTTCTAGGAATAGAACTTCAATGATTCAAATTTCTCTACGTAACAAATTTTTTGTCTGGTCCCAAAATTTTATTGCTATATATTGCTACTAACTCCTTTATGAATTGAAGTTTCATAAATCAAACTTTTTCATGTATAGAGGTTTTATAAATCAAACTTTTTCATGTATAGAAGTTTTTTCACAGACTGAAAGCTATATGACAACAATTATTTTCCTGTATTGTACAGATACTTTCGCCCCACTGCAACATCTCACATATGTTAGCGGAGAGTGCTACCTGACAACGGGATCACGGAGAGTGCTACCTGACAACGGGATCACGGAGAGTGCTACCTGACAACGGGCTGACAACGGGATCACGGAGAGTATGTATCAGTCTTGGAATTATAACAAATAAAGACCACTTAAATTCTGTGTGTTGTTTCATTTAAAATTGATCTGTAAAATACATACACTGTGAAACATGAAGGGACAAATGGAAACGTAAGCATGAATTATCAATTTCTCGTTAATTTTTGTTTAAAGTTATGCTTTTTTTCATGAATGACATTTTTCTTGTAAGATAAAAACAATCTTTTGATTTAATCTTGTATTTTTTCATATTTGTTGTATTCGTTCAGGTAGAAATATCATGTCTTCAACCATGTATAGCAATGAACATGAAAACGTCAACATAACCCAAAACAAATGTTGCAAAGTCTAGATAATCGTGAAATTTTGGTGGCTACAATATCATGAAAGTCTGGTGGCTACATAATCAATATACACCGCCACAAAATATAAAGATCAGGATAAAATGGCATAAATCTTACAAAAATCAATGAACCGTAAAATTGCCTCTTCATGCACATAGAACCATTGTATTAGTGACATTGAGCAAGTTTTATGAAAATCTGATCATTAGTTTAGGAGGAGTTACGTTCACAGGAAATGGACGTACAGACGGATGTACGGACGGACGGACGGGCAGACGAAGAAGATGACGCCAATATACGACGGCCTCCGGTGGCGTATAAAAAGGAAAATGACAGGTTAAAGTAGTAGAAAACCTGCTATTAGCTTATACTACTCTTGCTGACTTGGACTGAAGCTCGGAAATGTTGTAAATGTAGAAAGAGTACCCAGGGAAACCTATATGGTTGAGCAGGTGACCCCATACATTTTCATGTGCGATCTAGGAATGAAAACCCACTTAGGTGAAACGCATTGGCACATTGTCCACCAAACAGTACCTATGTATAAAGGCATGCTACACATATCCTGCATTTCGATTCACTGTAAAAAGATTTTCTGAGTAATTAATTATGCACTGTATGTATCTCTAACATCAATAAGGTAACAATTAAAGCATCAATGTTACCGAGGAAACAGTTCTAAAATTCTTAATTTCCGACATCTCTAGTTGGATTGTCATTGTTTCAACATGCACACAGTTTACACTGGTACATGTAAACACACTGGTGAATAGTACCTTTTAATACAAATTAAGAATTAGATACAGTAGGGTCAAAGATTGTACAAAAGACACACAAGTGATTAGTACCTTTTACTACAAATTAAGAATTAGATATAGTTGGGCCAAATAATGAATCCATCTGCATCATACAGCTATTACATTGTACTTCCCTCTAGAACTTGTCAGTTATGCTTAAGGCTTAAACTGGTGAAAACTTGGAGACGCTGAGAAAAATAACAATTTGGCAAAAGACAATATAAATGTAGAGGTATATGAAAAACTCCAAACATTTTCCTATTGGCTGGATTCAGATGATGAGTACATGTGTATGTAGGAAAACACGGCATGCAGTTAAAGCAATCCTTATAAAATAACCCGACAATGTCCCACAGGGAAAAACATCATATTGTTGGCAGTGGTGTTTATATACCACAAAGCCCAATATTTCTATTCCTGTAATGTTTTAAGCCAGAGTACCTGATGGAAAATTTTCCGTGTCCACATTACAAAATTTGTCCCAACGTCCTTAATCCATAATATATCTCTTTCTGTAATGATAATTTTTGGGTGAGAATACCATATGAAAATTTGTCCCGATGTCCTTAATTCAAAATATATCTATTCCTAAAATAGTGCTAATCAGACTGTGATACACTTACCGAAAGATCTGACTGATGATATCAAGGATTCCACCGTAATCTCTATGCTGGTCTTGGAGTCTTGATCGTATCACTTGGTAAGGATATGTTGTACTGGCAGCTATAATTTTTGATAACGCCGCAAACACGATATATTCCAGTGATTTCTACAAAAGATAATGTAACAATGATATATCATTTCACCGCATAACTGTTCTGTTGTGTCATGTCATTCGACCCTGTCAGGCAGTTGTGTGTCATACGACCATGTCAGGCACATGTATCATGTCATACGACCATGTCAGGCAGTTGTGTCATGTCATACGACCATGTCAGTCACATGTGTCATGGCATGTCAGGCACATGTGTCATGTCATACGACCATGTCAGTCACATGTATCATGTCATACGACCATGTCAGTCACATGTGTCATGACATACGACCATGTCAGGCACATGTATCATGTCATACGACCATGTCAGTCACATGTATCATGTCATACGACCATGTCAGTCACATGTGTCATGACATCATTATGACATTATCAATAAGCCACGTCTTGATGATATGATCGTCTCAGCAGTGAAATCATAAAGTCTGAGTCATGATGTCTTATAAGAAAATTGGTTTAAAAGTTTATATTTCAGAAATCTGAGTAATATGATAAATAGAATTTTATACTGGTGCCAGTGTAATTTGGAACTGATGAAACTTTCAAAAACTCTACTATGTCACATGCCTAAATGCTTGTTTAAGCTTGTTTAATAAATTCTATACTAAGTTAACTGTAAGATCCTACATCTCAAACTACCACACTGCCAATGAGATTTGCTGGGTATATTTCTCCATGAACAGTCATTTAGGGCAAGGTCTCCTTGTAGTTGTTGTAGGTTACCTCATTGAACAACATACCAGAGGCCCAATACATGCAATCCAGAGCACTAAGGGTACATTGTCTTATCTAAGAACATAAGCATGTCAGCTAAGACTGATCTGTTTCCTTATAAACTGTCATCAGTAGGGAGTATTAAGCTTCTAAGGTCTTAATCTCAGGTCAGGTGAGCACACCCATTTTCAACAATGATAAATCCTCACTTTACTTGAGAGATTTTGGTATCTGTCATGGAACTTTGTCTTATTGAAAGTTTCAGGCAAATCTGTTTACAAAATTTGTGAAACAGAACCAACAAGCAAACTAACAAGTACCAAATATATCCAGCTTCATGTCACACAAAGAAGTAAAATATTTCTCAATGAGATCACTATGGCAACCATAAAACTCCCCCATTTTTTTCATCAACCTGCATCTTTTGAACCCCTGTGTTCCAAGTTTGTCAGTCAGGTGACAGTTTCTTCCGTGAAAACCATGATAATGGGTTCAGGCCCTTGAATATTGAATCAGCTTTGACAAGTAAATACCATAGGTTGGAGATGTAGGGATATTGTTATCCAGAAATGGAAAATTCACAATAGGAAAACTGAAAATGAGAAAATATGACATAGATCTGTCCAGTAATTTGTGAGACATGTATGACATCAGGCTGAATACAGATAAATCTTGCCATTTACACAATATCTAGGTACGTCAGATATATCTTATGTATCATCATCATCATTATATTTCTACAAACAATTAAAACTGTTCTACTTACCAAACGGTAATCAGCATTACGACCTTGGTAGATATTGTAGCGGGATTTCATTTCCTCGTAAGCCATAAATTGCACAGCATACTGTGATATTCCAAAAACTCCAGGCAAGAAACCCTGACAAAAAATACCTTATTGTCAAACCATTCATTTTCCTCGTAGATTCATTTTTGTTGATTTCAACTGTACTCTTCACAAACCACATGTCAATGAACTCTAAAAATTAGTTTAAGTACACTGATTGAGGTATATTCATCCACCAAATGATGTGTTTAAAGAAAAAATGATCAATAAAAGTACAAAAACCTAAAATAAATCCCCCTCCAAAATAGAAAGTATATCGTTTTACAGTTAACAAAACAGAGGTTATGAATCAAGAAGCCTTAATTACTGTAATATCATTATCATTTCTGGGAGATTTATTTTCACTGATTTTCAGTGTACTATCTATGAGTTCATATTATCAACAAATCCACAAAGTGTGACAGAGTTACAAACACGTCCACAGATCTCTCTAGATATCACAGCATGTAGAGATAATTACACAAAGTGTGACAGAGTTAGATACACGTCCACAGATCTCTCTAGATATCTCAGCATGTAGAGATAATTACACAAAGTGTGACAGAGTTAGATACACGTCCACAGATCTCTCTAGATATCTCAGCATGTAGAGATAATTACACAAAGTGTGACAGAGTTACAAACACGTCTATAGATCTCTCTAGATATCTCAGCATGTAGAGATAATTACACAAAGTGTGACAGAGTTATATCTCATCATGTAGAGATAATTACACAAAGTGTGACAGAGTTACAAACACGTCCACAGATCTCTCTAGATATCTCAGCATGTAGAGATAATTACACAAAGTGTGACAGAGTTACAAACATGTCCACAAATCTCTCTAGTTATATCATCATGTAGAGATAATTACACAAAGTGTGACAGAGTTAGAAACACGTCCACAGATCTCTCTAGATAACTCATAGACAAACCCGTCCACAGATCTCACTAGATATATCATCATGTAGAGCTAATCACACAAAGTGTGACAGAGTTAGATACACGTCTACAGATCTCTCTAGATAACTCGTCCTGTAGAGATGATTACACAAAGTGTGACAGAGTTACAAACACGTCTACAGATCTCTCTAGATATCTCAGCATGTAGAAATAATTACACAAAGTGTGATAGAGTTAAAAACACATCCACAGATCACTCTAGAATATATAATCATGTAGAGATAATTACACAAAGTGTGACAGAGTTAGATACACGTCCACAGATCTCTCTAGATATCTCATCATGTAGAGATAATTACACAAAGTGTGACAGAGTTAGATACACGTCTACAGATCTCTCTAGATAACTCGTCCTGTAGAGATGATTACACAAAGTGTGACAGAGATACAAACACGTACACAGATCTCTAGATATCTCAGCATGTACAGATATTTACACAAAGTGTGACAGAGTTACAAACACGTCCACAGACATCTCATACTGTAGAGATAATTACACAAAGTGTGACAGAGTTAGATACACATCCACAGATCTCTCTAGATATATCATCATGTAGAGATAATTACACAAAGTGTGACAGAGTTAGATACACATCCACAGATCTCTCTAGATATATCATCATGTAGAGATAATTACACAAAGTGTGACAGAGTTAGATACACATCCACAGATCTCTCTAGATATATCATCATGTAGAGATAATTACACAAAGTGTGACAGAGTTAGATACACGTCCACAGATCTCTCTAGATATCTCAGCATGTAGAGATAACTACAGAAAGTGTGACAGAGTTAGATACACATCCACAGATCTCTCTAGATATCTAATCATGTAGAGATAATTACACATAATGTGACAGAGTTAGATACACATCCACAGATCTCTCTAGATATCATCACATGTAGAGATAATTACACAAAGTGTGACAGAGTTAGATGTCCACAGATCTCTCTAGATATCACATGTAGAGATAATTACACAAAGTGTGACAGAGTTAGACACACATCCACAGATCTCTCTAGATATATCATCATGTAGAGATAATTACACAAAGTGTGACAGAGTTAGATACACATCCACAGATCTCTCTAGATATATCATCATGTAGAGATAATTACACAAAGTGTGACAGAGTTAGATACACATCCACAGATCTCTCTAGATATATCATCATGTATAATTACACAAAGTGTGACAGAGTTGATACACATAGATTACACAAAGTGTGACAGAGTTACAAACATGTCCACAGATCTCTTTAGATATCTCAGCATGTAGAGATGATTACACAAAGTGTGACAGAGTTAGATACTTGTCCACAGATCTCTCTAGATATCTCATCATGTAGAGATAGTTACACAAAGTGTGACAGAGTTACAAACACGTCCACAGATCTCTCTAGATATCTCAGCATGTAGAGATAATTACACAAAGTGTGACAGAGTTAGATACACGTCCACAGATCTCTCTAGATATCTCAGCATGTAGAGATAATTACACAAAGTGTGACAGAGTTACAAACACGTCCACAGATCTCTCTAGATATCTCAGCATGTAGAGATAATTACACAAAGTGTGACAGAGTTAGATACACGTCCACAGATCTCTCTAGATATCTCAGCATGTAGAGATAGTTACACAAAGTGTGAC